GCCTAATAATAATAAACTCAATATATAAAATTGTAGCCTCTGTCTGTTTGTTATCGAACTCCTCCTAGGGTTTCGGAGAGGCGTGTGTTGGGTGTTAATAATAAGTATCAGTATAGAGTTACTTTCATAGATGTCAAGTCAGGGAAAGGTGGGGATGTCTAAATTTGAAACGGAAGAAGTATTAATCCTAGTCTGATTTGCGTGTCTATGGAGATTTTTTTATTTTATTTTTTTATGAAAGACTGTTCTAGTTCCACGTGCCATGTTTGATGGATGTCAGTTATTAGTTAGCCGACCAAGCATAGAAATAAATACAATACGGGAACCAGTAATAAGGAGTGCCAAGAGAAAAGCAATGATAACAACAAAAGTTGCAATATGAGCTCTGGTAAAAACATGTAATGATAACAGCAAAAATTGCAATATGAGCACTGGTAAAAATGGTTGCTGAAGACATTAGGTTTATAATACCCAGAAATTCATACCCAGATGTCCTCAAGGACACATGGCACAGTGGATAACGGCGTTGTTTAGATCCAGTGACAGGACCCAAAGAGTTCAATACTCGGTTAAGGTAGTGGAGAACATTCAGAGGGAAATTAGCAGGAGATAACTAATAACGGTGGCACGTGGAACTAGAACAGTCTACCCCAGTGAGCGAAATGAAGGGTTCAGTTCAAAATTCCAACCACCTGAAGGAGGCCGGAGCGTACAACGGCCGAAACGTTGTGATAAATATGGCGACAAAGATGAGACAATAGTCCGAATAATGTAAATAATGTACATAATACCTCATCTCAGAAATATAGACAGACTCTAATATTTGTTTTTCCAAGTAATTCATTTTCTTAGCTAATTCTCTTTTCTCGGGTTTATTGCTGAGAGTTTTGAAAGTTACTGAAATTACACCATATTAAACCATAAATTATCTTTCAGTGAATCAAAGTATTTGCGGACGTGTAACTTTATACTATTTTTGATTCACCCTGTGTGAACGGAAGGAGATGGCGGCAACAGATAGACAAAACGAAAACAGAATTTCTGGTTTTATAAATAGCAGATTGAGTTCGTGCCCGGCGAACTTAGTGGCCATGTCATTTGACGGAAATATCCACAATGACCATAAAAGAAATTCAAGGCAATTATTGGAGTAGTTAGATTCGTCTATCGTCCGGTTCACAAATCTCCCAGTTTTTTTTTTGTTTTTTTTAATCAAGTGTAGAGTTTTACCCCTTTTCAGGAATGGGTTTCTGTGTCCTTCTAAAGTCTACTTCAACTCTATATTTTTAACGTCGCTACATAAACTCTGAAATTTTATTTACTATGTTTTCCTCAACAGGAATAGATAGGTTTGCCTATTGTCCGGTTCACACACCTCCTCTTTTTTTTTTTTTTTTTACAGGAAGGAAGGTTTATTTTTTGTTTCCTGATTAAATTGGGTTTCCTGCTCCTTCTAAAGTCTTTCACTTCGAGCAATCTCTTGCATCTTAGTGGTATTATCGCGCTGGTTGGGGTGAATTGATCAAAGAATACCGAGAGCCGGGTCAAGCGGTGAATTACCCTGTTAGAAAAATCTTTCGTGGCTGGAATCCATGAAAACAATCCAACATAGTGGTCACCAATTTAGGTAGACAAGGAGACACAACCGATACCAGAAAGACAATACACTAAACACCATTGTAAAATCATCAGAAACCTTCAGAAACGAACAATTGGAATCCATGATGGCCTCATGGGGTTTGCATCGCACCAACTGCCTGCATTCAGCAAAGGAACACTTGTAAACGTGACTCATCGGATCACACCACCTTGCCCGTTCTTCAGTGTCATTAGCGTTGTCACGAGACCAGGAGATTCCTGTGATCGGTGTCGTCATGTTAACAGAAGTACGACTGGCGTTTTTCTTTTTTTTTTTTTTGTTTCCATATCACATATCCAGTGGAAGTTGAGAATGCTAAAATGACCCACTGAATTTGTCTTACAGTTACTGTGGATATTATTTGAGCCAGAGACACCTTATCACAGTGGCTGATATCATTCAATACATCCAAAAGTAAACTCATTACCACCGTGCAGACCCAAAACCTGCAACAATCCTGATGAGTTGTCATATCCTCACAGAGATGCTCCTTGTTTCTAACGCCTACTGGCTCTAAAACACGTACCCGACCTCAATTGGAAGGCGTCTGTTCCTGCCATTGCAAAAGAAGCCGAAAAAATAGTCGGTCCATTGTATCACCCCAGAAAATGACTCCATCTGCCAGGGTCTATATTTATAAGAGTCCAAGATTGGAGAATTACTGTCATATTTGGTCTGGTGCTGCACAATCCTCACTGCCCAGCCTTGATACCGTTCAAAAAAAAATCTATATCTAGCGGCCTTATGCGTGATGACTTATTCTTAACCCTTATCCAACAGACTAAACGTCGTCAGCCTTTCACTACTAATCGCTGATTAATCGCTATTGCTATGGCAGATGTTCGGTCGAATTATATGCCTTAGTGCCAGAAACTTGGACGTTCACAGCTAGGCCTCCCTACGGTAGGATCCTCTCTCCATTTCCTTAGTATTCCAATTCTTTTTTACTAATGTTCACCCAATACAAGGCCCAAGCGCCACTCAAGGTAGAGGGTTACTGTGTGAAGTAGTATTATATTAAAAAAAGGCAAAAATATTAGAAAAGATAGCTAATTCTTGAACAGGTTATGTTAGGAAGATAGAGTTGAAGTTGACTTTAGAAGGGACCGGAAATCTATTCCTAAACAGGAAACAAGGAATGACCCTCTATTTCTGTTCAAAAGACTGCGAAGGAATTTGATAAAGTTCCACTTGGCCAGCTTTTCCCACAGAACTGTTACAAAGTCCCGAGAGAATGCTTTCCTGACAAATACAAGCTTGATCTCTTTAAGTCCCATGTCAACCGATATCTAACTTACTCGTCCTCATAAAACTCTCTTACTGTCCCCTTCTTTACTATTTTGTTCAGTAACCCTCTATCTTGAGGGACACTTGAGCCTTGTACTGGGTGAACTATAACTAAATAAAATTTTAAAGTTCTTGCAAGAATCCACTGGTCATAGTCACTAAGGACCTGCGGAAGGTCAATGCATTGTCCACGTTGGGCGGTAATGCTTTCCATCATGTCTTTCCAGTAAACACTCGACACTCTCGAACGAAGGATAGCAAACCATAGTATATGAAATTGAACGCGCCGCCAACTTGACAGCATATCATACTCCAATCGAACTCCGATAATTCACCTTTGCTTAAAAAAAAAGCTTCCTAGCTGGTGTTAACACTGTCTCACAAGATGTTACAGAAAAACTGGCCCAATGATATCACGTCAAAATAGGGTGATATTATTTCCCATTACCTCTCTATATTGCTATTCCATGACTTTTGGCACGTCTGTGTATAAAATAACTTTATCTAATGTCTACTGTAAAGCAGAACTTTAGTAAGGCAACAGTTAAAAAACATACCTTCTTTTCTTGCCTTGCACCTCCCTATCACAACAACGGCTTTTCTGACCATATTTATTGCTGTACAGCCTCAATTCAAATCACAACATAAAATGAATAAAAAAAAAATACGTATTTAATTAGTAGACAATCCACCGCCTTGATTGGTAAAGGATCTACAATTTCCGCCACACCTGCTTTTGAAAGTAGAATGTTTGACAGCACACAAGATAATATTTATATAAATTCTTTTTTTTTCTTTAATTTTGAGGTGTGGTTCGCTTTTGTTGGAACATTTTATCTTGCAAACATTCCAAACACTTTTAATATTCGTCATCTTGTATATGTAAAATGTAAGGATATAGGCTTATTTTCTTGACGAAACAAGGTTTGGAATTTATTACGAAATACTTTTTCTTTTAATTCTTTGTCAACACCCTTCAAATTTAGGTTACCTTTAAAAGAAAAAAAAAAGAAGTTTCTAACGAAAAAGAAAAAAAAATTGTTAGTGTTTTTTTCAGTTTATGCTGTTTGACTTTGAAATGCTATCACACTTTTCGATCAAACAGTTTCTCAAGACTAGTTCATAAATTAATAACGGAACAAACACTCAAAAGAGGTCGGAAGAGAGAGCACAGAAAGAAACATGGCCGACTTGGCTGCCAGTTCTGATTGTCCTTTAAAATCAAAGAAAAATGATTTGTAATTTTACTTATTTAAATTCCTTTGACTGGAGAAAAAAGAAAATTAACCAATAATAAAAAAAAAAAGCTTAAAAAAAAACAATTTAATCGATTTGCTATTTATTTCCACTCTTTTATTTAATATTTTAACCCATATGCTTCTGATGTCAGTTTAAATTTACTCATTTTGCATTTCAAATATTGCTCACAATATCTGACGACAGAAAGATATGGTTCAAACTGAGACCTTCTTTTATTCCATCCGCGTCGTGGGTAAGACGATAAACTACGTCCAACAGCAAAGCCTCTGATCAGGAGTTTTTGAGGAGCGTGGAACCAGCTCTTAATTGCTGATGTTCCCAGGTCCCCGCTGACCCGGGGTGGTAGCACCTGTTAGGGTCCCAGCATTGGGCAAATAGTTAATCCCCAAAATATTATGAAAGTGTAAAAATAGGTCTTAATACTAGAAAGATTTTGTAAAAAAATATTATTACCCGCAATACATTATTACTGTACTGTACTGATGCGGCATTCACCCTGGGCGGATTGAGCCGGCTTCTTCCTGTTATGAGAAGAAGATTCTTGGGATAAATTACAGAAGTAGGGTACCCAGGCCTACTCGGATAACGTTCTTGCTTGCCGCGGGGTTCCCACAGACGCAGAGACAGGAACGACCAGAAGCCGCCGGTTACTGATGCAGACGCTCCTTGGATTTTCACCAGAGCCCTTGTTAGCCGGCGTGTGTGTCAGACCTGTCCGCCTTGGTGGCCCTACCACCAACGAAGTTCCGGACGGCATAGCTCTGACACTACCGTTTACACCCCCCCACCGACTGTGAGGTAAGGGTTGGACTTTGGTCAAAATCACGCTGAAACACCGGTTCTCGTTCCGATCACCGAAGTTAAGCAGGTAGAGCCAAGTCAGTACTTAGATGGGGACCGCTTTCACTTGAACACCTGGTAATGTAAGCCCCCAAAGTCCCCAATACATTATTACCAGCAATAGATTTCAGACAAAAAATTTTTTACCAGCAATGTTTTTTTTGAAAAAAATTTATCAGATATAGATTTTTTGAGGAAAAAAAAATGAACCAGTAAATCTACTCGGATAACGTTCTTGCTTGCCCCGGGGTTCCCACAGACGCAGAGACAGGAACGACCAGAAGCCGCCGGTTACCGATGCAGACGCTCCTTGGATTTTCACCAGAGCCCTTGTTAGCCGGCGTGTGTGTCAGACCTGTCCGCCTTTGGTGGCCCTACCAGGAACGAAGTTCCGGACGGTATAGCTCTGACACTACCGTTTACACCCCCACCGAATGTGAGGTAAGGGTTGGACTTTGGGGAAAATCACGCTGTTTTGTTTTTCTCATCGATCACCGAAGTTAAGCAGCGTAAATGCCAAACTCAAGTTTAGATGAGGGACCGATTTCAACGGGAAAACCTAGTACTATAAGCCCCAAAGTCAAAAAGTAAAAAAAAAATTTTTACCAGCAATAGATTTCAGAAAAAAATTTTTTAGCAATATTTTTTTGAAAAAAATATTATCAGAAATAGATTTTTTGGAGGAAAATAAATTACTGCCAATACATGTTTGAAAAAATAAATTAAAAAATGTTCCCAGAAAAACCACTAAAAAATTTTTCATTACAGTGCTTGGAATATTTTGTTGTTTTTTTTCCATTGAAACTTTTGAAAATTTATTTGGGAGAGAGAGTTGATACAGGTTATCACTATCTGTCGTCAATGGCAATACAAACTAGTCAGAATATGGATGAGAACAGAGCATAATGTGGTCTCAGGGCTACCCACCTTTAAAAACGTCCAGGATCCTTTCCAATGAAACCTTCTAACTATAAATATAAAATTATATTATTTGATCATATTCGATTGAGCCTATCAAACAGTTCGGTCTCCTAACGACCAGTCGAAAGCAAAAAATTCAGTAAACTTTTTAACCTGTACCTTTTAATGGAAAGACACAAATATCGTTATTCTTTCGATCAAGACGTTTTCTTCAGTTAAGTCCTTGTGGCTCTGGTAGAAGAAAGACAGAGAGACTCGGTAAACCATATTCTGAACATGGAACAAGGGATGAACCTCTTCTCCTGTTCAATACACGGTTTTGCAAAGGTTGACGATAGGTGAAAAAAATTGTCTACTCCTATTTATATATTTTCTCACCACCTTTAATCCGCCTTTTCAGACATTTTTTCTATATAAATGGTCAATATATCAGCATTATGCCCACATATATATAATTCTTAAATCTTAAAGTATGTTCTGGATTTAAGCCAGCAAAGGGTTAATAAGCCGAAGAAAATGAATGGATCAATCAATGAATCAATTCAGACATTTTTTCTCGCAGCTGGTCACATCATCGGCATTTCGACGACTGATCGCCAGGTTCAGTCATTTTTTTCTTTTTGCTACGCCATCAGCTATTTTCTTTTAAACACGCATGGGGTTTGATGTTTTCCATACAAAAAAAAAAAATAAATAAATAAATAAATAAAATCATTTACTCTTTTGCACATCATTTATTCCAATCTTTTTGAAATTATATGCACAATACGAACAGATCTGACTCAACTTTGATTTCTTCCAACAAGTTATCGCACTTATTAAATAAAATACGTCGTTATTTTTTAAAATTTCTTTTTTTTTTTTTTTTTTGTTCCCAACAGCGTTTTTAAAAAAGGCTGTCGAATAGCGTTGATGTGACAAAAACCTGCATTGCAGACAAAGAAACGAGTTTATATAGATGCTTTTCAAATTGTCTTATTTTAATCACGTTAAGGATAAACTGTTTTGTCTGGTCAGACATGCCCTATTAAGCGATAGTTGTTTTTTGAAATAAAGGGATATTAAACTGACGGAGATCAAAAATTTAATCATGGTTTTATTTTAATCATTTTATATTGCTGTAAACAAGGCTACAATGCAAATGGTTACTGGTAATTAAAAGTCATTGAGAAGATTAAATCCTTTAAAATGAAATTTTTCCAGTGTTCAAGAAGAGAAAAAAATTGCGATTGACTTTTATAATAATTTAATAATGTCGTCTATACCTCACTGAGAACTTAGGGTTTACGGTCAGAAAGAAAACATCAGCTGAAAATCTCTGGTCATCTAGAGTTTTAGAAATGCACCCATATACCGTTGTATCATCAGCATAGATATTCACAAATGATCGAAGGCAGATCATTTATGTAAAATAGAAAAAAAATCATTAACTAAGTTACCCCGGCGAGGGAGGGGCCGCCTGCGTTGATTTTAAAAATATGAAACTCAAAAACTTTTACGGACCTACACGCTATTTTAAACTAAATGTTTAATGTTGAAAAAAAACCCATGTTCAAAATTTTTTTTTAAAAATTTTAATTTAAATCATTTTGTTTGTTTGTCAATAATAATAATAATAATAATAATGCCTTGATACTACTGCGGGCATGGCACGCCTGACTTTTGATCTTAATTTTTTTTTTAGAAAAATCTGTAAAATCGAAGTTCTTTTCGAAAATTAAGATGGCCTGCAGGAAATATACCGTTTAAAATTTTAAAGTTGAATCTCAGTTGCCTAACCATAATCATTTATATATCCGCTAGAGGATGATTTTATAAATCTCTATCCATCGAAAAGATAGAAGCATCAAGTTCAGGTATCGTTCTAGGTTGTTTTTTTTTCATGTTTGAAGGAAAACGCCAAACAACTTTTGGTTACACTTAGTTATTTGGGAAACTTTGAAAAACTGAAATTTAAAAAATTAATTAAACTATTTATAACTAAACCCTAGCTGCAAAATTATATGCTGCTTCTTTAAAAAAAATGTCGCCATATCGCGCAGATTTGGCTGCAATGCAAACAAAATATAATTGTTATTAAACTGGGTGTCATGGTGGCTTTCAAATATTTGTACCCAAATAAATTCCATGTTGGTTTTATATTTATTTACATTAAATACCTTTGGGAATGTCATTGATACCAAAATTCAACAAAATTGCGAACTTTAAATATAGGTAAATTAGTTTGACTATTAGTATCAGTACATCATAAATATGAAGAAAATTGGTTTTCTTAAACCTAAAAGTATGTTCTGGATTTAAACCAGCAAAGGGTTAATAAGCCGAAGAAAATGAAAGGATCTGTCAATGAATCAATTCAGACATCTTTTCTCGCCGCTCATCCCATGATCAGCATTTTGACGACTGATCGCCAAGTTCAGTCAGTTTTCTTTTTTCTAAACTATCAGCTTATCGCTACCTATTTTATTTAAACACGCATGGTATGTCATGTTTTCCCCATATAAAACAAAAAAAAAAAAACAAAACAATCATTTACTCCACTTTATTGTGTTTGCTTTTTGCACGTCCGTTATTTCAAACTTTTCGAAATTATTTGCACAATACGAACAGATCTGTTTCAACTTTGATCTCTCACATCAAATTATTGCGCTTATTAAATAATGTTCGTCGTTATTGTTACAAGTTTTTTTTTTTGTCTCAACAGCGTTACACAAAAAGGCTGTCGAATAGCGTTGATGTGACAAACGCCTGCAGAAAAGAAACAAGTTTATCTCGTTGCCTTGTCAGTAATTGTATTAGTCTAATCTCACGTTAACATATAAACTGTTGTGTCCGGTCAGACATGCCTTAGAACAGATCTTCTATGAGCCGTGTTGCTCTACAACCTTCTATGTCATGTAGCTCTTAGTTTTTCTTTTGTCATCACTTTCAACCCATATTTCCGCCCACCATTCACACAAACTCAACAGATAGGCATCCCGCTGTTTTTCCCTATTCCTTTCGTCATCGATATGTCCTCTGAGTGTCAAATTCTCTAAGTCTTCCTTCCTCATTCTGTGGCCTGGAAATTTTCAGCTCTCACTTTTTGATTCTGCCCGTTCTACTTCATTTTTACTTGTTTTGAAATGAAGGGATCAGACTTGACACAAAAGAGAACGAGAAAAGCGATATTGTTTATAACCTTTTTTACTCGATTTTTTTATTTTTTGAAAAAAAAAATGTAGCTGAGCAATTGCAACTGCCTCTTTCTGATGTGACTTATGTGTCCTTTTTGCTTCTATTTTCTCTAAAACATCGTCCTTGCTGATGTTCAGTCTATGGTATTGTCAGGATCCTTCCAAGAAACTACATTTCTGCTGATTCATGTCTCTTCATCTTTGAGGAGGATGGTCCAGCATTCACTGTCCTATAGGAGGATTGACATTAAAGTTCAGTATTATTTTCTTTGTTTTATCAAAAGTTTCCTCTTGTTTACTGTCTAGATATGACGATAAACTACATCCGGCAGCAAGACCTCTGATCAAAAGGTTTTGAAGAACGTGGAACCAATTGTTAATTGCTGTTGTTCCCAGGTCCACCCTGACCCGAGGTGATAGACCCGTTAGAGTCCCAGCAATGGTCAAATTTAAATAAAACCAGGTCAAACTACTATTAAAAAAAATATATGCAAGTATTTTAAAATAAAATTTATATAGTAAAAAAATAGTTACCAGCAATATATTTTTTAAAAGATTAAAAATTTACGGGCATTTTTTTTTTTTTAAAAAGTCACCCCAAGCAAGGCGGGAAGCCACTCGGACGCAAGGGGTTACAGAAAATTTGGAGCAAGATCAGATAGGAGTGATAGAAGAAAGGATGAGGAGAAGGGTAGTGGATAGATCAAGGCAACTGGAGATGTCGATTGACATTACATTTGAATAGCTGCAGATTATAGCTCTCAAGGAAACTGAAATAGGGAAGGGAGTTCCACAGGCGAGAGGTGCGAGACATGAAGCTATTGGAGTAGAAGAAAAGGCTACATTTAGTTTCAACAGTGAAAGGGTGAGAGCGGAATGCCAGCCCCGTAGGGCGCTTGAACTCATGAAGTCTGGGAACCAGCGAATGCAGCTCCTCGGAGAAATTGCCATGAAAGTATTTGTAAAACAGACAGAGAGAGGCGACGGCGC